AGCCGCGTCATCACCTGTCATATGCACATTCAACTTTGCGCAAATCACGGGTAATTTGTCAAAGATTTTCAGTGAAGGAGAAAGCACGTGAAGTTTACTGTTCAATCACGCGTTAGTTGCCGACACGAGTGAAAGAATAATACCTCTACAGGTATTAAGGGACCTCCTATAACTGTCCACCTTCACCTTCCATAGCAAGGCAGACATACAGAGCCTTTCTTCATCTCCAAAAATGCTTTCCCAACGAAACCTCTCGAGTCATTCAGTGTTCCTTATTCCTTGGGGTACCTCTGCAAGCCAATGACTCCAAAGCAAAAGTATCTCATATCACCAGGGTAGAAAGCAAGAGTATCTCATATCATGCGTTCTCCCTGTCCTTTCCTTTGTCCTTGTTCTTACCTACAAAGACAAGGATAAAGAAAACAATATGTCGGAACTTCCACTCAAACTCGGGTAAGGAACCGACTGCTTGGAACCCTTCCCTGATTGCCTACCTAGCACTGCTCTCGAGTACTCGTTTCCCACTGCTGCTGTACTTCCAAAGAAGTTGCCCCATCTGCCTGGAGAACAGATAATGCAAGTGAAAAATGATACCTTGCAGCATGTGGAGACAAGGTGCAGAAGGAACAAGCAGAGAAGAATGCAGTCTGCACAGTCAACTCAGGAGAAGGAGTCCGAGCTGAAGAACTCGAGAAGCTGCCATATCTGCCTGAAGAAACAAGCAGAGAAGAGAATGCAGCATGCTCAGTCAACTCGGCGGAAAGAGTCTGAGATGAAGAACTCGAGAAGATGCCACATCTGCCTGAGGAACAGATAAAGGAAATGAAGATGATACCTTGAAGCATGTGGAGACAAGTGCAACCAAGCACGTGCCGATTCATCCGCTACTTCTTCAAAAGCAAGAGTATCTCATATCATCAAAGTTGCAATCACTCTGACGGTGAATTCGTTTTGACCCTCAAATTCTTGGGTCGACTTACTAGGCGTTGTAGGCTGCACGTGCCGATTCACCACCCTTGAATCAAATCCTTAAAGATCAAGTCACCAACTGGAAGAAAAGCCCATCAATCTTGAAGATCATACCGTTGACCAAACTGCTCAGGTGTGAATTAGAAAGATTGAACAGAGCAACAAGTCGTCACCTTCACCTAGTGCCTGCTTGTCATGTGTTCAAGTCAACCTTCAAGGATCAAGCCCTAACGGCCCTTGAAGAAGTTTCCAACCAAATTCAAGATCAAGCCTCGACGGCCCTTGAGGAAATCACAAGTCCGATTCAAGATTAAGTGTCTCTACCACCCTTGAATCAAAACCTAGTTCAAGAATAAGCTGTGGAAAATCAACAATTGGAGGAATCCAGAAAATCCTCCAACCCAGTTCAAGATCAAAGCTGTGGAAAGTCAACAAGCGCAACAAAATACGTACCGATTCATCCATTACCAAAGCCAAAGATCATCTACCACATGAAGCTCCTTATGGCCCAATTTCAACCTTCAAGATCAAGCCTCGACGGCCCTTGAAGAAATTTCAAACAAAAGTTCAAGAACAAGCCTCAACGGCCCTTGAAGAAATCTCAAGCCCAATTCAAGATCAAGCCTCAACGGCCCTTGAAACAATCTCCAGCCCAATTCAAGATCAAGCCTCGATGGCCCTTGGATCGACATCTACAGTAAGGGACTTCAAAAACGCATCTCCTACACGTGACAAGCACATGTATACGACGTGCCTTGAAGTGGGGGCATTTGTAGACATCGAAATTTCGTAAATAAATGTTGACCGGTAAATCAAAGTGTCAACGCTCATGTATTACATAAATTTTACACGTAGCGTGTGACTCAACGAAAATTGAAATGAGTTGGAAAAGTCATCAAATAGGACACGTGTCAACCCCTGGCAGAAACGACTTATTTCATCTGGGATATTATATTCAAAATTAGGCCTTGGAAAATTCTATAAATACAAGCCTATTTCATTCATTTTAAAAAAACCAATTCATATTACACCTTGAAGCTCTGAAGCTCTGAAGCTCTGAAACTCCGAAGCTCTCAAGCATCCAGGTTCCCGAAGAATCAAGAAAGTGTTCTTCTTCGTTCTTCGTTCATCGTTCTTCCAAGATCAAGCCTCGACGGCCCTTGGATCAACAATTATCCACCTTCAAGATCAAGCCCCGACGGCCCTTGAAGAAAGCGTTCTTCGTTCTTCGTTCATCGTTCTTCCAAGATCAAGCCCCAACGGCCCTTTGGATCAACAACGTCGACAAATCCACACATCCAACCGTTCTTCAAGATCAAGCCCAAAAGCCCTTGAAGATCCGTTCATCACTGTTCTTCAAGATCAAGCCCAAAAGCCCTTGGAGATCCGTTCATCACTGTTCTTCAAAGATCAAGCCCAAAAGCCCATTTGAAGATCCGCTCAAATCCACCTTCAAGATCAAGTCCACGGCCCTTGAAGAACGTTCATCCTTAGATCAAGCCCAACGGCCCTTTTGGATCAATCGCACATCCACAAATACACACCTTACGGAGATCGAATCAGAGGATCAAAATAGAGAGAGATTGTAACCCAAAATCATCAAATACAAATATTTGTTTGTGCACGTCGTTGTTCTTGTCTCTTTCGTTTCAGGAATTTTCCGTGTTCACAGTAACGTTGCCTGCCAGGGATCTTCTTATTCCTTATTAGTATTTTCTTTTAGGGGGAAGGGAGAGATGAAATATATAGGTTTTGGCTAACGTTTTTCTTAGTTTTCTGTTTGATTCTTGTTTTGCATCGTGCTTCTTTTTCTTGTTAGTTGTTGTTGTATATTGGAAGGTATGGTCATAGTATGCGAAGCAAGTTGTCCTTATGCATCAGTGGTGTCATTATTTTTCGTTGTTAGAACCTGTTTGTTGGCAATCAGTTGCCAAATTATCGGATATCTTTTTTGTTGTAAAATCATGTCCTTTGTCCAACGTCTTTTCCTCCCCCAGCCTAGTGATTTATTTTCTTGTTGCATACTTTATCCCACTTTATATTCATTGTTGGACGCTTTTGATTTTCCATGTTTAGCATCTTTAGCAGCTGCGATTCTTCATAAGGCCAAAGCGGCTAAAGATGGAATTGAATGATAATGCTTGTTCATTATTTAGGATGTACAAAACATGTGAGACGTGATAGACACGATAATGCTCTGTGGCTGATTACTTGGTGCTTTTCTTTTGTAAAAGTTGCCCTTGTCTTTAACCATGTCAGACATCATGTAAGTTTGTAACTGCTTTGCTAGAAGGGAAGCATGCATGGGATTTAGGAAAAACTATGTGAAAGATTGTGACTTGCAAGCAGTTTTACTAGTGTGTGTGATTGTAAAAGTTGGTCTGTTGAAGTTTATTTGGTGTTTTCATATGCTTATCTCTATTTGTGTACTTTTTCTGTTTTATTATAACTTACCAATGCTCTTTGCTTTTTGTTTTCTAGGTCTCCATGTATGTTGTTGCAGCACATTAGATTATCTTAAAGATCCAGTCTTGTCCCAAATAGCCTTTTATTAGATGAATACTCAAGAAACATAAAGTTATTGCTTCAAGCCATGGGTCTGTTGACTGATATGTACACATCAATATGGCTCTACAGACACATCAGCATGAAGGTTACACATCAGCAAGGCACACATCAGCAAGGCAGTTAGTTTGTTGAGATTGTAGGAAGGCTGTTAGTCTGTTGGGATTTGTAGGGATAAGAAAGTTGGTTAGTAGCTTATGAGTGAAGCAAAGAATACTTGTATAAATAACAAAACACCTCTCTCTGGAATTCCTTCATTGTTCAAGGAATACAATCTTTAGTCATTCATTTTCTCTCTCTAAATCCTCTGCCATTGTTTCGTTTTGCTTCTTCTGCCATGTCTTCAGTCAAGAAATGGCATAACATATATTATTGCGTAACATATCTTTAGCCATGTGCTACTGTAAAAAATATATCATAGATAAGCATATATGTGTTCAAATATGAACAAGTTCAAAAAAAATAAATAAATAAATGGTCCCGTCCTGTTCCACGCATAAGGATTGTACCAAACAACAGACGAAACAGGGATAAGTTAGTCATTTAATCTTTTGGTTCCATTCCGTCCAGCACGTACCAAACGCAGAACGGAACAACCGTCTCATTCCATCTTGCGCGTACCAAACATAACACGGAACCTCCGTTCTGTCCCGTCCTGTCTCATCCCGTCCCATTCCGTTCCGTCTCGTCCCGTCTGCATACCAAACGGTACCTAACTGCCCAACTAATACAAATGTATGACAAAGTCTCTTTTATTTTATCAAATCTTATGTCAGCCGTGACGTGGAGTTTTAGGGGTACATAACCAAAAGTCTAAAGCCGGCCTCCATCAAATTTAATAAATACAGGCACTATGTGTGTGATGTAAATTTTTAAAAACAATTAAATTTAAAAGTGGGAAAAATTAGACGTGGGTGCAAATATGAGAGAGAGAGAGAGAGAGAGAGAGAGAGAGAGAGTTTAGGTATTTGATAGATGGAGGTTTAGAATAAAAAATTAAAAATTTATTTGTGTGAAATTATTATAATGTTTAATTTTTTTTTCTTTTTTAATATCTTCTTCAGTCATGTATAAAAGGGTATAATAGTAATTTTATTAGTTTTTTTTTTTGTGGACAAACTTTATTCTATTAATATGTAGTTTAAATTTTCTAACCATGAAACTAAATTTATTATCAACTTGATTCTATTAATACGTCGTTAATTCATATTTCACATAACATTAACAGTCGTAAGTGAAAATAAGTTATATTGTTTGACTTTAAATTATTTCTCACTAAAAATAATCAACAAAGGAGGACCACTAATTTGCTTTTAATAATATTTGTCCTTCATGTGAATTTATAAAAGCTAAACTACCAAATCAACTACTAAGTGGTAGATAATAATTAATCTCGACGACAAAAAATAATAAATAAAACCCACCACAAAAAAAAAATACAAATCAGTAAAGCACGTGGTGCACACACACGACTTGGACCCCGGCGGGCCCCGTACCAATTGGAAACGTTCAACAAATCACCACGCCAGATCTTGGACGGCAAGGCCCACTCCGTTCCTAAATCCCTTTCCTAATCGCATTCCTAAACCTAATTAGATTTTAATTTCGATAGCTCCCAAAGACTCAAAGTAAAAAGCGTGTGGTCACCACGACGTCGTCTTCTTAATCTCGCCCCCCCCCCCTCCCAAGCACTCTCTCTCTCTCTCTAGAACTTTCTCTCTCTACAACCCAAAACGAAGGTCAATAATTCGGTTCCACCTAACACAGCGATACCTTTCCTCATCGCCTTCTTCGCCATCCTCTCTCTCTCAAGCTTTCTCGCTGTCATCGAATTTTTGCCCCTTCGCAAAACCTCTCTCAAGGTACGATTTCTCTCTTTTCGCTTTTGGCTTCTTGTAATTCTGCGTAATTTTCTGGGTTCTAATTTCCGCCGTTGCGAATCCTGATTGTAATTCTCTCAAGTTTCTGCATTTCTTTGTTTTAATGTATGTTGGGTTCGTAATCTTGCATGAATTTGTGCTAGAACATCTTTTGGTGGATTCTTGGAATTCTGGGTTTTGGAATGAGTTGGGTAATGAGTCGATTATGTCGATGCTCGATTTCTGGGTCTTTTTTTGGGGGGGGGGGAATTGAATCTTGAGAATTTCGGGTTTGTTGAGTTGTTGAACGATCTAGATTAATGGGTTTTTTAAGTGTTTTAATAGCTGATTAAATTATTAATTACATTAATGATATTTTGGGATTTAATCAAGATAGTAATTTTGATGACAAGTTTCTTGAATTTCTTGGTGTCTGAGAGTATAATCTATGTGTTTTGGCTGTAGGTTGATCTAGAATTTTAAGAAATCTTTAATTTGAGAATGGGTTACTTTGCAACAACTGATGCTTTCGATGATTCTTAATCGTTCGGCTCAACCCGGTTTGATTTTCTTTTTAGCAAGAGAGCATCGGTCTGATTTCAGACATTTTGATATTTTTGGTGTATGTGTTCTCTTGCTCATGGTTTTATGGCTGAGTTAATGATATTCGTTGTTCCTCGGTGCGCAGGTTAATTTTCTCAGCGTTGGAGATGGATTCCTTTTTCAATTTCAAAGCTCCAAGTGACGATTGTGTGCCGTCTGAGCTAGACATTCTCAAATGCCCATTTTTGAGAAACATCAATGAGCCCACCAATTTTTCCTTCGCCTCATCCTTGGCGTTCCCAGTACCTGTAAGTTATCCTTTTGTGTTTTGAATCTACTATTGTTGCCTTGTACTAGACTTGATTGAAATTGCGGCATTTTCCTGACACTACTTTGCTTCTTTTCATGTTCAGGGACGTGGAGCCAAAGGTCCAATATTTGAAGATGGTCCCAATTTTGACATGGCATTTCGGCTTTTCCATGGGAGTGACGGAGTTGTCCCGCTTTCTGGAAAATCATATGTGCATTCTGACATAGTTGAGCCTCAACCAGCCCCACCCATGTTCAATCCATTAGCTGCAAAGGCAGCTACGATCAGTCTCTCATCCTTTGGTGCTGGAGGGCCATTCAGTTTCGATGCATTCCATAAGAAATGGAAGAACCAGCAAAAGAAATCTAATTCCTCGAAAAAAGATTCTACGTCAAAGGTAAATTGATTGCTGCTTTGGACTACTAATTTCCCAGCGTCTTAAGTAATTGAAACTGCTTGTGGTTTTGTTGATTTTTGTACTTCATATCACTGAACAAGTTTCTAATTATGTGTGGAATTTGATGTTTCAGGGAGGAAATTCTAATCACGAGGCAGTGGGCAATGAGTGGCTACAATCTGGAAACTGTCCGATCGCAAAGTCATACCGTGCTGTTAGTGGTGTCATTCCACTAGTCGCAAAGGCTTTTCAGCCCCCTCCAGGCATGAAAATCAAGTGCCCGCCAGCAATAGTGCAGCCCGAGCAGCCCTGTCGCGAACTGCATTTGCAAAGAACCTCCGCCCGCAACCCCTTCCTGCAAAAGTACTTGTGATTGGAGCGATGGGCATGGCAGCCAATGTTCCTTTAGGGATATGGAGAGAGCACACCAAGAAATTCTCACTATCTTGGTTCGCCGCTGTGCATGCGGCTGTCCCATTCATAGCCTTACTTCGGAAGTCTGTGCTGATGCCTAAATCAGCCATGGCGTTCACCATTGCCGCATCAGTACTTGGACAGGTCATTGGCTCCAGAGCAGAACGGTACCGTCTGAAGGCAGTGGCTTCGAAAAGTTCACCTCTGACTGAAACCTCCGCTGGTGTTGTGACAACGCAGACAAGCGAGCTACAGGTGCTCCAAGCAAAAACTGAAACCTCTGCTGGTGGTGCGACAACACAGACAAGCGAGCTACAGGTGCTCCAAGCAAAAACCGGCCACTGCAATGCGATTGAGGAGTGGAATTCAGTTTCCCTTCAGGTGGCGCGTCCTTCGTCATCCGCAGATGTGTTCTAATGATTTGTTTGTATTTCGATGGGCACTGATCGATCCGTTCCATCGTTTCTATGTATTTGACGGAGTATAATTCTCTGTTTGGTTTGTGACTCCAAACACTGTCCAAGTTCTCTGAAGACTTGAGAGAAGAATAAATGTATAATTCGAATGACGATTTTTATAAGTTGTTTCCTTTCCTTCCAAGTTTTATGTATTTGACTATGACCTGTATCCAGAGGTGTACTAGTTGTACAAGGTGTTTAGAAAATAAAGTACTTTGCTTTGATTTAAATATAATCTTTTCGATTTTGCGTTGTGTTTTAGTTGTTTAAGTATGGGTTACAGACTGTGATTTGTAGCGTTTTTAACAAAATTTAAAGTAACGGCTTGAGCATATCTCAAATTTTATTAGATACGTATCTTAAGCATTGATGCTTGCTACATCCTCAGGAGTTTTGGTAACTTACTAGAGGAGTTAGTTATGTACACCATGTACCTATTATGCGTTACCACGAGTTTTAACTTACTCACGTAGCATTACATGATTTAATTTAAAACCCTGACATTGTAGTGTCCCAATTTTATACGAGTGCTCGTAACCTAGGCTAACTTGTTCAACTTCTGTAAATCTCAAAATCCAAAGACTTATAATAATCCCTAAAAATCATTAAAATTTTCAATTAAAAAATAATGGTGCTATTCACGCTCTTATTTTTATGTTTCACACACATGTTATTTGGGAATCGGACACCGGTCCTTAAAACGACGACGGATAAAGGCAGCAGCCGCCTTTCTTCACTGAAAGTCGCTCTCTTTCTCGGTTGAAAATTGAAAGGACACATACAAATGTCTAGCTCCTCGCGAGCATGTCAGCCTCAGACGTTTGGATTGCCGTGGCCCGATCTCAACGACGGATTGTTCTACAACGACGTCGTTCGAACCCCCGATTCCGGTACTCTCTTTCTCTCCCTCTCTTTTAAATCTCCCTAGGAAGATACTGTTTTTTTTCTACTATTTCTGTTTCTTTCCTGCATTTTCTCGGCAGCCAAACAGACTCCATGCGCTAGAACTCGACTGTCGATGCTTTCTTCGATTTTAACTTGTCCGAATTTGACTCCGATTGTTGGTGTGCAATACAGAACTGACACTGATCGAGTTCTACTCTAGCAAGTACAATAATTCAGCTCCATTGCAAGGGTAATCAGCTTATACCAAATTGCATTCCAACAATTTAAATTAATTTGATTTATTTACTGATTTATTTTTGCATTTTAAGCAATAAAAAATATGTTTAATTTGAAGAACTGATGAAAACTTTGTACTGATAATTGAGCAGTTGGTTGCAGAGAATTCGGAGCGGACAGGTTCGAACATCGAAAATCATGAAAAGGTTTGTTATGGAAAATGTGAATATATGCGTGTTAAATTCTCAGCATTGCTTGTTGCTGTTTTTCTGCAGATAACAGTTGATGGTGAAGTTGTTAGAGATCCCGATACGATCCTCAGGTGGTTCTTTGTTTCGTGGATGTCATTTTTCGCTTTTATGATATGCTTGCTCTCATGCATATAGAAGATTGTTATGTTTTGTTTCTGTAACATGATGATCAATTTGTTTAGGGTTGGTTCGAAATTGGCATATCATAGACTTCCGTGGAGAGAGCCCGATGCACCATACTTGCTCGAGGTTCTGTATGAGGATGATGATATGGTAAATTTCTCAAAGTGGTTACTCATCGATTTGTATGTCTCATGTCCTATCTTCTATCTTCGTTACGATGTTGCTTCATTCCCATCAAGATTAGTGATGTTAAACACTTGAACTTATGTACATTTAAGGTTTCTAATACTGTGTTGATTAACTCATGTTGTAGTACTTATGTGCATGTTGTTTTTCTTACTGGTATTATTAGCTACTTCAACTCGTGGAAAATATAAAACCATTATACCAAATGCATCAAATGGTCTTTTGTTTGTTCGAAATGTAATTATAGTTGATTTTGGAGATTTTATTAGAAACATAAGTAAGTACAATATTACAAAATACTTCCCACCTAAGAATTGTCTTGGGTGGAAAGGAGTGGGGTGAAGTTGGTCTTCGGTTCAGTTTTGTCCAAGAATAATATTCGAAGTCAGTTTGGTTTGTAAAAGTTGAGCGTTGGTCACCTTAAATGAGGATCCGTTGCCCTACCCTCCCTTAAGAGCTAAATGAGCTTAGGGTTCTTTTTTCCCTTCATTCTTTGAAACAAATTGAGGTTTTTTCATGAGAAATTTTGTTATCAAATAGCAACCAAAAGACGCCTTGGAAATTATCTATGGTTTCTCTGCAAAGAATCTGTTAACTGTTGTTTGTTCTCCATTTTGGTGGTTACTCTTCTTGTGTGAAGTTTTAATTTTGAATTCAGATTGCTCTAAATAAGCCTTCTGGGCTGCAAGTTTTACCTCAAGGTCTTTTCCAGCAACGAACAGTTCTCACACAGCTTCTATGGCGTGCAACACAGAAGATTTCTCCCTTATCGTGCCAACAACCACATCCTGTTCCTGCCCATCGCTTAGGAAGAGGCACTTCAGGTATCCATGACGTCCAATGCTGAATTAATTGATGAAGTCCCTTGTATTCTTCTTTCTTTTCAACCAAAGTAGCTAAGTTTTCTTATACATGACTGTGGACATGAGATGATTTGAATGTATGTTCTATCTAATTACTTGAGTTAAGCTTCCTACCCATGCTCATTATGGCCTTGGAATTTTCATTATTAACGATTAATGTGTAGTAAAACATAGAATTGAAAAACATGGTTTTATATATCACATTGTCTCAAGAAGCTTCCTGTATGTTGTTAATACACATGGTATGTCATTTGGATTTACTTATTGCAGAAAGATTGTCAAATTTCGGAACCTAGTTGTAAAGATGGATAACTTAATGCTGCTTACTATGTTTCTCACTAGATAACATCTACACATAACGAAAACCTTTTTCCTCAATTTATTGCTCCTTTCCAGTTCTACGTGTTATTCTCACAAATCTGTTCATTGTCATAGTTACCACAAGAATGGTTATACTTCTTAATATTCTTCTGGTTGACTGGTCTCATATGGTTCTAGGAATATTACTCTGTGCAAAGACAAAGCATGCCAAAACTCAGCTTGCAGCATACTTAGCTGACGGGACATCTAAAATTGGAGATGGCAGGTTAGAGAAATCGCCTATTCCATCTTGCTCGCATCTTATTTTGGCTTCTCATTTTTGAATGAAAAACTTAAGATTCCTACAGTTTGGTTATAATCTTTATGAATTTGACAATGTGATTGACAGTAATGCTGACATGGAGCCTCGTACAGAGAGGAAAATATCAAAGATTTACCGGGCACTAGTGACTGGGATAGTTTGTGAGGATAAGGTAACATCCTTTTGAAGTACTACTGAAGTGTGTGCAACTCTAACTACTGTCTGTTTGTGCATGAATAAGGCTTAATATCTCAAACAAAACATCAACATCCACTGTTTCCATACCTTATCTCAACTCAAACCGATGATTTCTTGAGTCTAGCAAGCCTTCCTTTCTAATTTTTCTTGATGCCGTCTTTTCAACTTTATATATTGCTACTATTCATGCAAATAGAGTGTATGATAGATGTGAAAATTTCTATAGGTGATTGTAAAGCAGCCAATTGGAATGGTGCGATATCCTGGTGTGGCTAAAGGGCTGTATGTTGCTTCTCCTACAGGTTTATTTGCATTAACGAATGTGTTGAATAATTTTGTGTTTCCTGTAAGCTCCCTCCAATACACCATGATTTGGAAAGATGATTGCAATCTTTAAGTTGTGTGTGTTAACTTGCACCATTCACCTTTTCTCTTAGTGCTTAATCACCTCATCTCAGGATGCAATGTGTTAGATTCATAAAACAATCTTATTCTAACCCACCATGCTTATCTCTTTTTGTTATTTTATTTTATCTTAACCAGGAAAGCCAGCTCTGAGTAAAGTTGAAGTTCTTGAGAGAGAGATTCATAAAAACCAAACGCTAGTCCAGGTACCCCTGATTTTACCACTTCAACCTTCAGAAATAATATATAGCCTTTAGTAGTATCTATCTATTTTACTTCCATGGATGATATTCTGGCTTAACTCCGCCATTTTAGCATAGTGCTTTTCAAAAGCCAGTATATAACTATGATGACAACAATAAGACATAGGACATTGACAATGGACACGAAAATCAGGTTGTGTTTGTTGTTTTTGGAATTGAAAGCAACTTACAATAGTACACTGATACTTTAACAGGTTGAGATTCAGTCAGGAAGGCCACACCAAATTCGCATCCATCTTTCTTACATAGGACACCCATTGTTAGGTAAGTCTTTTATCGAAGCTAATCATAGTCCATGTGGCCCTCCCAGTCTACGGGGGCTATTGGCTTGATCGCTATTGGACCTTAAGTTTGGGATTAGGCTGTGTCCAACATGTTATGAGAATCTGGTTGTTGGAGGGCATGGGTTTGAGAAACCTCAGATTCCCCATTTGCTTGGACTAGTTGAATGCTTAACAAAATATTTGTTTTTAGGCAATAAGGAGCCGTTAATTTGGATCTCACATTTTGCCTGTCTATATACAGGAGATCCTCTTTATGTTCCTGGTGGACAACCAAAGTGCTCAGATTTCGACTTGGTCGATGAAAGTTTTGCCGATGATGGGTATGCAGTCAGTGTAATATAAATCCAAAAGCATTCAAATGTAATTCCGTCGTCCATGATTGTCGAAATGTAATCACATTTGTGTGTGCAGAGGGTTTAAGAGGCCTACAAATCCCGTTCCTGGTGACTGTGGCTACAACTTGCATGCTCATCAAGTCACTCTCTCTCACCCCGCATCCAATGAGGTAAAATGTTGCTGTAATTGCTATATAAGATGACCTATTAGCACTCCGTCTCAAATCAATGATCATGTTTTTTGGCAGGTAATCAAAGTTATAGCACCACTTCCACCAGTTCTTCGGACGCAGCAAGAAACCGAACAACTTACTCGCGGTAAACCCGAACAACTTACACATCCGCACAAATAATATCGGCCGATCAAAAGGACTAGGAAGTTACACACATTCAAATGTAAAATGTATTTTGCTAGAGTGTTACTTTCACCTAAATCAATGACAAACAAATGATGAGATGTTGGACTGGCAAACATGAGTTTTACCAGAACTAGAAGCTACCATGAGACAAAACGACGTCAGATCAGGTGGATCCAGAGCTCGCAAACCTGAAATAAATATTTCTCTCCATCCATCCCCGCCCGCCTTCCCAACTTTTGCAGTTTATTTTTGTATTTTCCCATAAAAATTAAAATACAACAAAATACAAAGCTGCTCCTGCTGCAATATTACAAGCACCTAACAAATTTAAAAAACAAAAGCATTTTACCCAACCAAAAAAAAAACGACGGGGACCTTTTAAGAGTCCATTTTTGCCCTAGCACGTCACTGACTGCACTTAACCAACACCAACCAAAAACTATTATACAGGGCGCAGCAAATAAACAATTTGCCGCTGCGGGAGCACCAATGGCCTGGCCAGGCCAGGCCAGGCCCCCTCTGCAACCATCTACTACCTGCCTATATCCCCCTTCCCTCCTCTCCACGACTCTTCCTTCCGGAATATGCTCCCCGCCTGCCCCCCATACTGTTCAGTTTTCGCGTAGTGCATTCTAATGGCAGCCACGGGATCTGATACCACCGTACACGGACCCCCTACGAGGATCCCTCCCCTCCCTACTACATTCATCCCAACACTCCCCCTTCCTTGCTGCTGTATGCTCGAAATTGCATCAAACCCATTTCGTCTTGGAATGTCCAACACGTCTTGCCGCTGCTGCTGCTTCACATCTACTGTAAATGGCTGCACTTTGTTACCACCGTCCTGGCCTCTACTAAACACCGGATAATCAGCAACTCCATTGCTACCATTGATCTCCTCGCCACGAAAAACTGATATGCCATTCATACTTCGATCGTTGGTCTTCACAACCGCCTGCAGTGGCTGCTGTTCCATTTGGGAAGAGGACGTAGGAAAATTGCTAAACGCTGCAGGGTACTTGGCCAGCAAGATAGCTGAGTCAGCAAACGATGAATTACCAGCTTGCACTTTATTCCCTTCCCAAAACCCACCGTAACTCCTACTGGGAACATTCTCAAGGCCCAGATAACTACTACAATCAAACTTCAGGAGAGGAGAATTCCCGTCAGCACTGTGATGCCCGGTGAGATTTAAGTTAGACGACTTGCTGCTTAACTTTTGGTTATGAGCTCCCTCTTCTTCATTCTCATGGATGCTGCCATTTGACTGGGACAAAGATGACGGGTTGCTGAGTATCTTACCAAACAGTTTCACATCACCATTCCTGCTTGGTTTATCCGAATCTGTCGAGCTCCATGAATGGGCTTTTCGTGCGTCACCTGGTTTTTCTACCTTTAGGGGCAGAGGAGGACAATCAACACGAGAACATTGGGGCTTGGAATTCCCAAATTGAAGGAAGTCATCTTGTGTCATATAATGCCCATTGATATTTCTGTCTGGCTTAACTTCAGATAAATTACCACAACTTACATCCCCATTCGTCTCTTTCTTGGGTACCATTTGCAATGGATAGCCTCTGAGAACTTGCAAAGGTTCGACGTTTGCATGTCCCAGAAGACCTGACAAGTGCTTGCGACTCTCATCTCTACCAACAGATCCCTCCCGCAGATCCAGGGTTGATGACAACCTATCTTGGCTAAGGGATTTCTCGCATTCAATGACAGCAGAATCTTGTGGCACAGAAACTGCAGTAGCAGGAGCATTCTCATGTGTCAACGAGATGACAGAAGGGTTTTGCACAGAATTCAGCTCTACAGAAACTTGACATGGGCACTCAGGGTTAAGGCCAGGACCTGAACAAGAACCATCAGCAGCCACATCAGAAGTATTGCCACATGAATTGTGTGCTGAGGCTGGTAAGCAGCATCCACTTGGATCTCTATTGCTTCTTTCATCGCTCCCCTCCAGTTTCTTTCCAAATCGATCAGAAGAAATTTGACCGACCAATTTTTCCCCAACCATACATTCAGGATTAGGTGGGTCAGAGTTGATTCCCTCACCAACAGGTCGTGATTCTGCAACCAAAATTTTGTTTTCAGTTGCATTACCTCCCATAGCATCGAAATCCATGATATCAGTGTCGCCATCAAAAACTAGCTTAGGCTTATCCACCGTCTGGAATGCATCAGAAGCCAGAGATTTGAGAGGCTTACCATCTCCATGATCTACTTCTCCCATCACATTGTTTTCCTCCGGTCTGGGTGGGCTTGTTTGCAATTTCATGGTCTCCGCAGGATCAGCTTCATCAGCATTCATGTTTGTGACAGACGGCGGCACATCCTCGTTCATGTTACATCCTGACTTGTCACTGGAAATACCTGAACCAGTTTCCAGAACACAGGCATCTTCAGTGTCACTCCCACCTCCATTAGCATCATCACCAACAGATGTTCCATTTCCGGGCCCAGGATGTACAAAATCAAGCCCAAGGCACTTCCGAGCCTTGCTAAAGAAAACCTTGCATTGATGCTGAGACCTCGATCTAATGCATCGCGAGATCATAGCAAAATCCTTTCCATAGGATGACACTGCCTGAATAAATCTAGACTTCTCCTCGTCTGTCCAGTCAGAAGGATCCATTTCTCCACAACTTTCATCTGAGCAAGTCTCATCATCCACATTCTGCATAACATCAGGTGTCAAAGGTTGCCTTACTACCGAATCCCCTTTCTGGCACTTCCATTCCAGATAAGACTCACCAGGATCAATGGAACTAGTGATGCAAGAACTCACCGCCTCAGATGACATTGAGCCACATATACCTGCTAAAACATCAGCAGCAGCTGTTTCTCTTTCGTTGCCAATAGTATCAAGACTGCAAGACCTTTCAACAGTGGTATCCTCACTACGAGACGTATTAGTATTCCTGTACGCTCCCAAAATTAACCTCCTCGAATACGTTTGTCGATTTCTTGTACCACCATCAGCATGAGCTGCGATTGCTGAAGCAGCACCCAAAATATCAAGGGAAGCAGCATCCATCTCACGATTCCATTTTTTCCCATCTGAAATTAAGTAGGTATTAGCCGAAGACTTTCCTTGCTTAGCCATATCAGGCTTCTTCTTTGTTTTCACAAAGCAATCAGACTTGTGGTGTTTGTAGTAAAACTCCACACAGTCAGCAGTCGTCTTGTGATCAAGAAAGGAAGAAATTTTTCTGAAATCCTTCCCGTAGGTGGTTAGCTTTTGGATGAAAAGTTCTTTCTCTTCTGGCGTCCATGGGTTCATCAAAGCCCTTTCCTTCTCAACAGCACAGGGATCTTCAACTAAACCATTACTAGAAACAAATCTTGTCGCCAACTTCTCCTCCTTGTCCAAGATTAAGGCTGGCATCTTCAACGAGTTCCTGTACGGCTTGACTTGGGAATCTGACAGCAACTTGTTAGTGAAATTAATAATCTCTGTAGTAGGGACCAGGCTCAGACTTCCTGCTGAAAAAAAAAAATCATTAAAAACTTCTGATTAAAAAATGTTTCACCAAAACACAAAAGTAGATGTATTTGTTTTCAAAGATTTACACATAGACTTCTATAGTTGATCAAATATAAAATAACCAATGAGTAGTTATCTAAAAAGCATGCAACAAAACAACTCCAAGTAACCACTACAGCTAACACATCCATGTAGTCATTACTAATACACAGGGAAAGATAATGAAAGCCGTAGCACCAGAGTCAGCACGAGCGCCTCATAGGCAAGCATGGTGCATCAATCAGAACAAGTTAATTGCTAACTTGCTGAAAAGACAAATACTGATTACTATTGGAAAAGGCAAAAATATCACAAAAAACAGTTTAAGATTCAAAGGCAATTGTTATTAACTTATTAGCACTCCAAGATACTAAAAGAGACATCCTGCCCTCCTTCCTTATTTTCACTACAAACTGTGTACAAAAAGTTCCTCATGCATAAGAAAAATTTATAACCATGTTCAAACAAATCAAATGCCACAAGCAGCACCAGAAAACATAAAACAAGAAATAAGTCTGTAAAAAAAAGTCGAGCCACGTCACAACCTTGTCCATCATGAAAACTGCTTTAATTAGTTTTTCTTATTTAGACACAAGAATATCGGCATGCTTATAAAACCAATCACTTTCTTCCAAACTCATGAAAGATAAACAGAAAAAGCAGGTAGAATTTCTTACCAGGTGTAGAAAATCGCGATCGAATTGAAGAGCGATGCTTCTGATGTCCATTATTAGTTGCTCGCAAGCTTAACTCAAATTTTTTGTGAGATTTTGAACGATATTTTCGCATGGAAAGCACACTCATGTCTTCCTTCCACAAGTGTTGAAAGGCTTTAAATTTTAAGGTTATAACTCTCTCCATAAACCTTAAATGTCGCTTCCTCTTGGCAAACTTCTCTTTGATCAATGAATCATTCTTCCAGGATGAGGAAACACTAACTCCAGAAATATGCTCTTTTGATAACAGCTTACTAAATATGTCAGATGCTCTACTTGCAAATATTTTATTGGCAGAAAATATAGAATCGCATAACTTATCTACTACTACACCAGAGTCCGGTGCAACTACCTCACTATCCAAAAGCATGCTACTATTACCACAAGTAGATGGGTCAGTCTTTTCTGCATATCTGCTGGGCACTAAGCACGTTTCTTCTCCTTTGGTTGTTTGGATTGGATCCCGATCCTCAGAACCACCAGTTTTATTCGTCATATCAGATGAAACCAAAGGTAATGATTCAACAAATTTCGATGTCGCTGTTCCAGGACTATCAATATCCTCATCCTTAACAATACCACAAAATTCTACCTGGTCACCATTATCAACACACATCTTCTGCACATTAGTGTCCCCAGAAGAATGAATTTGCAATGGAGAAGGCCAAGTGATCAAATTTGTGACCTGTTCTTTGCAAGATTTATCCTTCTCCTCCACAGGCAAAGAACTAGAAGTTGCTGGATGGGGACAGCTGCCCCCAGAATCAGATTTCAGTGCCTTAAGTTCGTTTTCGAGTGAATCAATTTCTGACTCAGTTACCTCCAATACCTTTGAAATTTCACCTTTCCATATAAGCAACTTGTT